CCTTAGCCTCTTCGCTATGGCCCTGCTGGTATTAATTACGCCAATTTGGTATACAAGCGAATGAACAACTTTAAGATAACATACTCATGTAATAATTGCATGACACTCGAAGCAGTTGATGCGTCCAAACCAGTCGTTGGTTCGTCCAAGAATAAAACATGAGGAGAGGTAATTAATTCCATTCCAATCCCCGTTCGTCTCTTTTCACCACCAGATATCCCTCGGACCACCTCATTTCCCACCTGGAAATTGAACAAAGATAAGAGAGTTCAACTTTTGGTACTATCACCTGCAGCCTAAACGAATCAGGGTTCGTACATATCAGAGAGTGAAGTTCAAGGACTTTTCAAGGACATTCAAGGGCATGTATCAGCGAATTCAACGACTAAATACCGAAGCGTTAGAAATCCACCACTCCACCGCCAACGAGAAAATCGTCGCTACGTCCCTAATACTGATACCTTGGAGTCAGCGACTTTGGCGAGTCCCAACTCATCGATAAGTTTGTCGACTTTCTGAGCCTTCTCTTCACTGGACATCGAGGAAGGAAGACGTAACGATGCCGAGAAATAAATATTTTCACGAACTGTTAGTAAACCCATCACGACATCGTGCTGTAAATATGAATAAATTGTACTTTATCAGTAATAATTCATGAGGAAAACATGAAAATCTTAAATGTAAAACCGAAAGTGAAAGAGATTGGGGGTGTGTTCTCCACCCCCTACAGGGGGTGTTCCTCCACCCCCTGCACCCCCTCTAGCGTCGCTCTACATTCTTACATTACCTGAACTACATAACCGGTCATCCTCTTGAAGTTTGATGGTTTCTTTGCACCGTTGACCATGATATCACCCGTCACATGTGACATGTCTTTACGATCAGCCAACATGTCAAGTGTCCTGGGGAGAGAACAGGAGTGAGTTATGAATGAACTGCCACCGTCATTAATACCCTCAGTAATCAATAAAAAACAGGGGCAAACATAAACACTTTAAACTAACTTAGACTTAAGTATTATAACAAAGAAACAAATAAAACAAACAAACAAACAAACAAACAAACAAACAATCAATCAAACAAGCAAGCAGGCAAGCAAACAATCAATCAAACACACAAGCAAGCAAGCACAAACACAAACACAATCAAACAAACAAACAAACAAACAGACAAACAGACAAACAGACAAACAAACAAACAAACTATAACTACCTATACCTAATGTAACAATTTGTTTAAAACTTACGTAGTTTTTCCACATCCAGTTGGACCAAGTATCGCGTTCATTCCAGGGGGGAAAATACCACTAAAAGATTGCAAAAACAAAATATGTCACTACATGTCAGTGTACTTGACAACTTTTCCTTACTGGTAATTAACAAAAGTGATTTATGTGTGTGGAAACAAAATTGATAATTTGTAAATTCTTAGGCTAATACAATTTCGTTTTGCATCCCATACAATATGTACCAAATATTTCAATTTGTGGGAACGCTCTATACGCCGCAGTGGAAGAGGAATATTTCCTTAAATATTCAGTATTTCTATCTCTAAATTAAATAATTAAAATTCATAGTCCTACCTTAAAAATTCCTGAAAAAAACTATGTTGAACTACTTCAAACCCAGTATTCAACATCCAATATTCATCCCCAACCCCCAATTATAGCACAATGCAGCTAGTGCATGCATGGAAATTGTTCATGCTATGCTAATATTATACCTGTATCGAAACAGGTTGAAGACAATACATTTTTAAAGCTTTGAAATAACGCAAATCATTAAAAGTTTGCATTGCAGACTGACCTGTTGCTATCATAGATATCGTGCATCTAATTATTCTATAATTCAAAATTGAAGCCGTGATTGCAGACTCAGGATATTCACATGAAATGAGAAGACTCGTATGTTTTCTATTTCTTAAACACGGAACTTAAATATTAAGGTAAATCTATTCCAAATACATTTTTAAACTATTCAAATGATAAAAGTTATTGTTGTTTTTTTATGCGTTTATTAGCGAGTGGGAAACTCCAACACGGCCGCCATCTATTCAAATGGGGGTAACCGCTGGAATATTCTTGGCTTCAATTGTACTAAAAGAGATGTGCTATCTACAATGTACAGCTATTTCAATTAAGGTTGTCCACGAGCAAAGCGGAAAAGTCGAATACGAGCGCGAAAGGCTGCTGGGAATCTCTTTGAAAATTCATTAATTTGTTAGCGATTCCCAGCAGCCTTTCGCGCTCGTATTCGACTTTTCCGCTTTGCTCGGGGAACAACCTTAATTGAAATACTGTATAAGATATCTATGGTTGCTATGGCTAACTTCACCACTGGTTCAACGACTTCAAAGTTTCAAAATAAATAATGCCAACAAATCACACACGATTATGGAGAGTTTAAAGGTTATAAGGTGACAATTGCAATCAAGTCATCTCTACACAGCTAAGACTGAGAACAAACAGTTGCGACACAACTAATCTCGATTAATTAGGCTCTTAGTTATTTATTGTAGAGTTAAGTTATGTGAGAAATATATAATTTCATACGCGCGTGTATGAAATTGAAAAGCAGCGGCTGTATTTCGTACTATTAGATATAGCAATCAACTTTCATCAACTGATATGGAGGCAGGGGCGTAGGAACCGGGGGGCAGCCCCCAAGTTTTCTAAAGTGCCCTTTTTCCGGGAACAAAGTGCCCTTTTCTTGCGTGAAAAATGTCATTAAGATTGCATTTTTTGCCCAAAGGGCACTTTTGAAAACTTGAATTTATGGTATTTCCAACTTTCAAATCAAACTATATTGAGACATTCCCAGTATCATTGCTTGTCTGCTTGAGTTTTTTCGCCATTAATGTGGAAATAGTTATGCGCATTAAACCAGGTAGTAAGTGCGCAGATATCCTATAAGGGTATCTGTACACCGACTGCCCAGTTTCATGTAGTTTCACCTGAGACATGGACAGTGCTATTAAAATGTAGTATATATTAGGCCAATGAAAATTGATATCATGTTTCTCATCCATAATTTTCAAAAATTTGGAGCGGGATTTTTTCATTTTTCATTATTTTTTTGTATTTGAATTCTGCTTGTCAATAATTACCTTGACCCAGTAACAAACCCCATAAAAATCTGAAGTATTAAAAATTGGTGTATAATTCATTTTAATTTAATACGTCCTACACTACAGTCTACAGACTACAGTATATTTCTTTACATACCAGGGCTGACATGACAAATAGAGGCATTCTGGCGAGTAATATCTTTAGAAAGATACAATTTGAGTTGCGCTTGCGAAATGCAGCAATAAGACTTTGATCTGGAGATGAATTTGGTGTTTTTTAAGCTTATTTTTCAAAAATAATAAATAATGAAAAATTTTCGTGCGGCAGATAAATCCCATGCGGGCGGGGACGAGAAACATGATATCAATTTTCATTGGCCTTAAAGGAAATAATTCTCTCTATATATCTACAATAACCGCGTCAGGCAGTTGCAACACTTACTGTAAAACGAATGTTATTATGTTGCAAAGCAGTTGCAAAACGTATAAACACTATAAAGCAAATTTTCCTCGACAAGTTTTGTAACGTACTCGTCTCAATAACAATGGAATGTTAAACATTTATCTCACGTCAATCTGCATGATGGCTTTTGTTGCCAAAACCATATAAGTATTTCTTGAAGAAGTTAATTTATAATCGCTCACTTAGTCTTAGATAAAGAGATATTAAATTTAGTCTATGTGGGCAAAAATAAACAAACCAATATTATTTTGACTACAGTAATAATATATTGCATAATTTCGAAATAGATATACTTCGCAATCGGCTTATAAAATATGTGCTTAGAGTATAAAGGCTTAATTCATGTTACACTTCTCAATGTTGAATGTATTAATAAATAATAGCCATAAAATTGCAATTAAAGTATCATAAATTCATATTTAATGCCTGGTTGTTGTCTTTGCATACATTTCTTTGTTGACATTAGCCACATACCTTATTCCCTTAACGATTTCTTTCTCAATTTTTTTCCGTTTAACTTTAGTATCGACTGTGTACTTGATATTGTAAAACGATATTGTTGTGCCGTGAAGTGAAGTAGTATTATTTGCACTGCTCTTGGTATCCCCGTTTGTCGCTGGAGTTGATTCAACCGACTCATTGTCGTTTGAATAAGCGGGATTTTCGATGGCTACTTGTGTCGCTATTTTATCTTCAAGTTCAATATTCTCGCCTTTTCTATCCGAAGACCGAATGCTAACTAGTTCAGCCATTATGCTTTCTTTATGCCGTATTACATTCCAATTTACTGTCAGAAAGACAGCTTTTGTCGTCTTAAATGTTTTTTGTATGAAAGGCACTTGACATGTCAAATTTAATTCGGGTTTTGTGTATATAATTTGCATATGAATTATTGTTATTATGCCTTTTGAAATGACTGATGTTACTATATAGACAATGCAACCATGGCAATATTAAATTTAAATAGTGTTCTAATTGCTCAGACTTTGACAGGCAGCTTTGATTTAGTTTGATTTGTATGGTCAAAACAGATATAAAAGAAATATTTTTAGTCGTGGAATTAATTTGCGTAACTTTCAAACTACAAAAATCTGTGGATTGTAATATATCAAGGAGCTAAAATAAAGAGAAGCAGATGGCTACATTTGAAAAGAAATCATCTTTTCGGTTTTCACCGAATGTTTCTAAACAGTATAAACAAGATGACTGCTCAGGTCGCGGGATAGAATAAAGAAATAAAGGCCCTTCGGATAAGAGTGTAGAGGCAGATGCAGTCATGTTAGCATGAAGACATCCAGTACCTGTTCACTATTCAAGATAGAAATTCATAGAATTTATTGGTCACAAAGTACTCCACGTTCTGAAGTGGCGTTTGAAAAAATAGGTACGCAATGCGTACATATTGCAGGACGTATCATTCATCAACCTCGTTCCCAGAGCCTGGAACGAGGTTGATCATTTATAGGCTTAGAATTTAAAACGCTTTGATCCATTTTCAGCTGTGTAAATACGTGTTACGGTTGGGTAATGACAAAACCCCCTAAATATATAGAGGATATTACACGACGGCGCGAAGATATGACTTTTATCTTCGAGTGGTGAAAACAATATTTTACGAACGAGCGCAGCGAGTGAGTAAAATATTGTTTTTAACACGAGAAGATAAAAGTCATATCTTCAAGCCACCGTGTAATGTTCCGTAGTCCCAAGCAAAAAAGTGTGAAATTTCACGTTCAAAAGCAAATTGTCACGTGATCGATATCTTCACTAGTGAAGTGCATTTTTTTAGTGAAGATATGGAAAATATCTCACTGTGTATTTTTCAGTATCTCACTCTCTACTGTGTAAGTTGCACTGAAATGTGAATACTACGAGAAGCGTGCCTCAGATTAATCATGACTGTTAATTCCTGCTAATACGTGCATAATCTCTATATTGAGAAAGATTAATTTGCATTTTTGCTCGATTGTTTACTTACGCATTTAATGATTAAAAGTTATCGCACGGTACAATAACTTACGGCCAAAAGCCTGGCTTTCGTTGGAATTCTACACGATCTTTGACTCAATGATATTGCATTCACTGTGTGTGTTTGTTGTGCGGCGGATGCCCTTAGACTACAGTTAGGTAGACGTCGAAGACTACAGTTAGCTAGTCGGAAGCTCGTTTAAATAAAAATCTTAGTTAGAGGGGTTTTTTTTAATCATTTTTTTTAGCCTAGTCGAAGAACGCCAAATTATTATTTTTCAAAATCGTGAACCCGAGAGTCGACAAATTTATAATATACAATGATGTGTATAAAGTCAGAGATCTCAGAACGATATAACAAGCTGGGTCTGCTCTTGTTTTGTTTTGCATTTAGGACGGAGAAAGGACGGAGTATTTGAGAACGGTATCTAGGTTTACGGACGTAATCCAATGCATGTTCATTCTTTCTATGAAGACGTCCCGAGTACACGGGCCGAAAGCTCAGAATTAAATTAAATACATCCTAACCACACATGCACCGTTCCTTATTTTTATATCTATAAGGCTATATTTCATAAACTGCTATAGTTCATACCTCCGGGAATACTGCTGAGGTACTGCCTATGAAACTACAGCATACTGCATTTTTTATGCAGCCAAAAGCTTCAAAACTGTGGCTATAAAAGTAGGGAGAAATCCAGTGTACTTTATAGCTACAAACCGTGGTATAAAATCTACATTCAAAATTTCCGTGTACAAAATCCCTTGAACAACGAATTTTCTCAAAAAAATTACCTGATTCCCTTGACGATAATTTTGGCGACTTTTTTCCTCTTAACTTTCGTTTCAACGCTGTATTTTATATTACGGAATGAAATTGTAGTGCCTTGAACGTCGCTTGTGTTTCTCTCCAAGGCAACTGTGTCACCGTTTGAAAAGAGACTGCTCTTTTTAGACACTTTCGTATAGCGTTTACCATAGCTAGAATTTCCCGTCGAATTATCCAAGGAATCCCCACAAGGATCCGTAGAGTTGGTAGGATTTTGCTTATCGGTTTGAGAGACTGAAATCTCAGCTAAATTCGTGAATTCAGTAAGCGTAGCCATAACAAAAACGGACTGGCCCGATACGCTAATGTGTATGTATTAATTTTTTTGCTCAAAAATAAACGCAGCTGCATAATGATATATGCATTAGCCATTACGTAACGCCCCCTAAAAAACTTTACAAACCATTGAGATTCGGGCAAAATAATGCTAGGGAAAATCAAAAAAATTCGGACAGATTTATCAGAAAATATGTTAAATTCAGATTATGTTATTACATAACTTTCTATAAAAATTCGGGCGAAAGTTTCAACTGCCCCCCCCCCCCCCCGGAAAAGCCCCGTACGCCTTTAAAGCCCTGGGCAAACTAGGAAACATTGTTGCGGAAACATTTGTGATTCTCGATGTTTCCTCGAATGTTTCCCTGTTTGCCCACCCGTGGAAACATTGTTGTGGAAACAAAATTTGCTTCCCGGGAAGCAAAAATGTTTCCTACCAAATTCAGAAACATTTGATGTTTCCCTATGTTTCTCACTAATGCGGCCTAGTGTTTGCCCACTCTTGGAAACATGGCAAAACATTGGCAGGAAACAATGTTTCCGCAACAATGTTTCCTAGTTTGCCCAGGGCTTAACATATCACATTCATATATATGCATGAATAGCCTCTTAGCAAACTGAATTTTACTCAATATAAACTGTTCTTTCTGGCAAATCTACCCGCCCTTTCCCAGGAGAGCATTAATTTCACCAAAGCTTTGGGAGGAGACGTTATTTACAAAATTGTAGGGTGAATTGTGGGGTGAGCAATATCTTATTTATGTTCTACTTTCTTTTGTAGTCTTGCGACAAGCCTCATTGCATACGTCGTTCTTTGCACAGACTTTATCGCTGTCTGTACATTACGTAATCTAATAACCTCATCTTCGTAGAATAGGTTGTGGTCCTCCTCAGGCGGTTGGCAATACAACACACATATCCGGTAAACTTGCAACATGACCAGTAACGCATTCTTTGCAGTTAGAAACAGGAAGGTACCGCTACCTAAAATAATAGATTTGTAGAAACTGGGCTTAGAGAAAGCATGCATAGTCTATCGAAGGGAAGATGGCTGTGAAACTCATTAGAATAACAATATAACTCATTATCTATGTTAGTCAATGTTTATTCATAAATCTGGTCCTTCACAGTCACGTGTGTATTGTATTCTTGCCCAACTAACCAATAGCAATGTTTTAGGAAAGTTACCTATCCATGACTCGAACAATGGGGTAAATTGGAAATTGCTATTGGTGGATTTGGCAAAAATACAATACACACGTGACGATGAAGGACCATATTATGAATAAACGTTGACTAACGTAGATAATGAGTTATACTGTTATTCTAGTCCCACATGAAGACGTTTTAACAAGTTTACCCTGCTTTTGGCGTCATCAAAAACTCAGTTAATTGACCATTTGCGTAATAGACTAAATTTTGATCTAGACAAAAATTTCATCACAGCTTGAAAGAACATCACAAAATTAGTAATATTCCAAAGTTTCGTTGCGAAATGTTGTAAAATGCGAATAATATAGCCTTGCGAAGTTTGCAATTTTCAGTCATTTTAGATTACCAACGGGAAATTGACAGCCCGATACGCTTTGAGGCTGTCAATTTCCCGTTTGTAATCTAAAATGACTGAAAACTTCGCAAGGCTATATTATCCGCATTTTACAACATTTCGCAACAAAACTTTGGAATATTACTAATTTTGTGATGCTCTTTCAAGCTGTGATGAAATTTTTGTCTAGACTTGTTTAGATCAAACTTTTGTCTATTACGCAAATGGTCAATTAATTAGGTCAGTTATAACACCAAGATGGAGGACTGCACACTGTTTTTGGTCAAAATATTTCGAAAACCAAGCAAGGTACTAAAAAGTTGTAAACGGTCTTCATATATAACTTTAAAAGTTCTTTCAAATAAGACAAAGTTAATTACCATATCCCTTTAACACAAGTTTCCTCAAAATTCTTAGAAATCATACCTGTAACTTTATAATAAGACACCAAGACAAGTCGTACAATGAGAAAGGGGCCATCCTGCAGCAACATTGGTGTCAAAAGTTGAATTAAGTTCAAATTCCTGTGAACAAAGTTTTGAAAGTTTGTTAAACCTCTGAAGCACATCCCAAAAATGAAAATATTTTTCTTCACATGATCTTTGTTCGTTTCATTATCGGCTGACACATCGGCAAAATCTATTTTTGTATCAGTTTGTAGTTTTAGTTGAAGGTTGGCGATTCGTTCTTTTTGTTTCTCCATGGCTTTCTTGTGGGCCACTTTGTGTGTGTACAATGCTGGCAAAACCTACAAGAACAAAGATAGTAAGGAAGCTGTCATTATTAATGGGGGTTGAGGTGGGGTGGGGAGATATTTGGGGTGGCCATAAGGGGGGGGGGGGGGCGGGAAAAAACTTAAGGAAGTGTAATTGTTGAAAAATATCAGCAATTCAATGGCTTGTAAAATGAACTCCAAAATCAAACAGAAACTACATTATGAAGATATGTGTAACGTTGTAAGTTGGAGGTGGGCGATGAAATTAATGACTGCTCCTTCAACAAACTTTCTCTTATCAAAGAGAAATAAAGTCTAAAACACAGATATAACTATAACCTGATTTCGTTTAATTTTCAAGTTACGTTCTTCTTCCTTCAAAGCCTCTTGTTTGAGAAGTTGTTCCTTTAATTCCTCGCGATCTTTGGCTCGCGTCTCCGCCGCCATCACCGTCACCGAGAATTGAAGCAGACTCATTGACCATACGGTGAGGATTGCTCGTACTAAACTGAACGATATAAAGAAGGAATGTTACAACGAGCTGAATGCAAGAACTAAACCTCGTGCCCAGGGTTTTCCCTCTTGGAGACCACAGACCCGGGTAGGAGATGGCCACGTGATTTTAGGGTGCGAATTGAGAATTTTTTCTGGCCTACAATGAATTTCAAAACTTGTAGGCCATGCCAATTTCGACCTCCAAAAAATTCAATTTTAGGTTTGTCTTGCGATGAAAGTTATTTTCTGACTGTTCAGTTTTTGTTTTTCTTTCGTTGCCAAGAAATTTATCTGGCAAGGGATTCCGAGTGTTTATAAAACCGACTGTAAAGTTGGCCTACAAATTTTTCCATGAAATTACAGGCCGCTAATTTTTTGGCCTACGAAACAGCCTTAATTAAAAATCTGCAAGATTTTGGCAGATCAAGTGACCAGCTCCTAACAGGGACTTTCCTCTGCAAGAGGATCTAAAAATGAAAACAAGCTCGTAAACATACTGGTCGTTTCCACCAACGCTTGAATCTTCATATATCTCAGTCATTTCGACGATATCTGCTGCTGTGGCGATATAAACCAATAGCAAGCTAGATAGCTGGTCACGTGATATCTCTCCTTTAGGCAACATCCAACGTCCCACAACCAAGAGAAGGACGAATGTCTGGTCGAGTATAGAAAGTCGAGATTCATCATTTGTTGTCGACGAAAATATCTAAATAAAATAAAGATTTTTGCAATTTATCTAAAATTTCTTTTGACTCAAAAATAATTCAACTCCTCATTGTCTTGAATAATTTGTCTATCGTGTAAAGTATTTCAATTCTCTTCGAAAAAACGTTAAACCAAAATTCGGTTCATATACTTAATGTCATGCTCCAACCCAAAAAATTTCAGAAACTCGAAATACTTTTTAAAATAATTTGTATGATATCAATAGTTCTTTCCACTTATTTGATACAAATAATGTATCATGAAAATATAGCAAAATATTTTCATGATAAACATGCATATTAGGCTTATCATGCATAAAAAGTGTGATATGCATTCTTTATAATCTTATATTTTATAGTTATTATAACGATACGTTTTGTATCTTTTTTGTATGTAATTTCATATGCGCCTGTATTGGTATTTGATAAATATAAGTAGCATAAGTATTACAAGTATATAGTGTACGAATTTAAAATTGGCCTTGACCATACCTCGCCCAATGGATTGGTACCATTAATACTGGTCGAACATGTGATTCCATTATTAAAACGAAGATTATTCTGTACACAATCGACAAGCTGCAGACGTAACAACCAAAAACATGGAATCTCTGTGATCGTAAATATGAAGATACTCGGACAAAACCTATAACAAAAAAATTACTTGAAGGGTATCGCTAACAAAATGTATAAGTATAGTTCTGGTTTAGAAAGAACTTTTGTAACATATAGCATAAATTTTGCAGTTATACGATATTTGGTTTCGTTTTTGAGACACTTTAACGTTTTATATGTGAGTAAGATGCAGGGCTTTCAAAACAAGCCGGCGGATGCCACTATATAGGTTTACCGCCAGTTACTTTGTTTTGTACTTGAAATGTCAATTCTGCTCCCCTTCCTCCACTCTAAGCTCTCAAACAAAGTTATTTTTCCTCAACCTACTCTACTTTGTAGCCTGGTTATTTTCGAAAACGACTTACTATTTCGTAAAACTGATTTAGTTATTTGCCATCTTAAATCCTGAAGTTATCTTGTTGAAGAATGAAAGTAGTGATACATTATAATTTGATTACAGAGCTCAGTTGTGTTGCTATCTAATCAATAATATACACTCATATGTCTAGTTAATTTGGATGACTCTAACACTCCCTAGACTCCAGCCCCACATGCAGCTGCCTACTTTATCAACACAGCCACTTACTCAGAATAATTCTTGAAACCCTGAGATAACGTTTTGGAGAGTCATGATTACATAATCTCAGAACTGATAGAGCTATCCAGTTAAATAAAGTTAGTTTAGTTTGGTTTCTTCCCAATACGAGACGGCCGTTATAGACTTTCACAGAGAACAGTTATCCAGTATAAATATAGAGACTTACATAATTATCCAGTAGAAATAAAGTTCATTTAGTTTGGGTTCCTAGCTCCCAATAAGAGAGCGCCTTTCCTATAGACTTCTAGGGAGAACAGTTTAAAACTGATAGAGCTATCCAGAATAAATAAAGTTAGTTTTGTTTGGGTTTCCTCTCAATACGAGGTGGACTTCACTAAACTTCCAGGGAGAACAGTTTGGAACTGATAGAGCTATCCAGTATAAATAATGTTAGTTTAGTTTAGTTTGGGTTTCCTCCCAATAACAGATCGCCTTATCCTGTATACACTTCTATAGGGAGAACAGTTTAAAACTGATACAGCTACCCTGCAAAAACAAAGTTAGCCTAGTATTAAGGGTTTTCTCCCAATAACAGATGGCCGTTACTATAGATCTCCATGAGAAGGGTTTAGAACTGACAGAGTTATCTAGCATAAACAGAATTTCATTAGTTTAGCTTTAACTATAAAACTTACCAATAATACTCATTCCCGCGACGATGGAACACGGTGACAGCAGTTTCAATAAAAAGCATGGATAAAATTACGAGAAACAACCAATACATCGTGTTCTGCTTGATCTGTGTCACCCACCATATCAGAAAACACGCATGAAGACAGAACACCAGACGACTTAGGAACGCTGCAATGTAGCTAAATATTCTCTCCATTGTACAACACCAATGCTATTCCACTGTGTCTATGACTCGTTTCTTTATGTTGAATGAAATTTACTGGACACACGGAATATAGTTCGTAGATTACGCGACTATTCGTTGTATACGTTTTGGTAATCACAGTAAAACGCCAAATTCTTAAGTTGTCAAGTAAACATGTATGCCCACGAAAGGAAGGCAATTGATCATAGGCAACGCAAACAAACAGAACGTCCGAAGCAGCAAAGTTCATTTAATACATGATAATTCTGACTTTGTTGATTTTAGGTTTAGAGAAAGTTTGTGTTGTGGCTAATGATATGACAGCTAGAATCTAGAAGCATATGTTTAAAAAAGGATGGAAGATATCACGTTGAGTACATGTTTTCCAAAAACATATATCCATTGCTCATTGGGCGACTGAAATGTGTTTTTTTTTAGTTTCCAAAATAAGCCGACGCGTTGGCTATAGGTTTAGCGGCAGTTACTTTGTTTTGCACTTAAAATATCAACTTAATTTGCTCTTCTTAGGCTGAGAGAAATTTTGTATGATATGACAGCTAGACTCTTAAAAATACACGATCTTAAAAAAAATCCCAATCCCAATGACACGATTGTTTAAAAAAGGATGGCAGATGTCACGCGGAGTACATTTTCAAAAAAAATCCATTGGGCGACTGAAGTGTTTTTGTTTAAGTTTTCTGTGACTTTTTCTGCTTATATTCCTGCTACATGTGATAAATCTACAGTAATTACAAAAGTCCATCAAGCACCAAACTTAATTGCTCAAGATACTCAATTGCTTAAGAACGACAGAAGAGCTGCGGAAATTCATATATCACAAACGTATTTCACATCTGCCGATTTTGACAACTGTGTGTTTTCGCATGTCTTTATACTTTATTGTACTTCAAGTTTAATCACGAAGTCAATTCTGGCAACATGTCATCAGTGTATTTTTTTTAAACTTGTTCAAAATATCAATGAAAATACACACTTTTTATTACAATAATTCAGTCCAAATCCATCAATTCCACTGTTGGTTGCGAGGAACGAGAAAAATTCTATACGGAAAAAGTGCGAGTAATATTAGAAAATAATTCTCTATCAAATAATTTTCTATCCCAGAAAATAATTATTCAAGCTTTATATTTATAAGTCAACAATATTAAATTCTTACTTGGGTTAAAAGCGAAATCTTTTAAGCGAACAGTTTCATTCAGTAATGGTTTGAGCTGTATATCTTAATCCTACTATAGGAATATATTATAACATAATGCGATTTTATTCTCATATCCAGTGGCGGACACTGGAGGTGGGGGGGAAGGCAGCTCCCAACAATATTTTCTAAAAGCGTTTGAATAACTGAAAGTTGAATAAATGTGTATGACAGAGGTTTAAGAATAATTTATCAACCATAAAAGCATTGCTAAAATTTAAGCTAAATTTTGCATGAAAGTTAAGGCGAAAAAGTTTAAATAACAAAGATTTTAAGATTCCAACCCCCCCCCCCATATTTTGTGAATCGTTCTCATATGCATAAACCTAATTACGAACGTCTTTTAATTGACGACAACGCTTAACTACACATTTTTAAATTAACAATTTAATAAATGAAAACAAGGAATTTGTAAGAGTGAAGAAACTTCACTTCAGAAAAGAGAAATTTATTTCAGAATGCTTAGATTTACAACTCGTTTTGTTGTTGCAAAGGGCTGCATTTTTGTACACAAAAAAATACGAAACCAAATTTAAAACTGTATATAGTGGTAAATTATACTACAAATTTGCTACAAATTATTCAATTCAATATATATGCAAAGTTAATACAGGTGAAAAGTGTAATAATTAGGAAACGCTTCGCTTTTCAGGCAAAAAAGTAAACGTTCCCTTTCTTTGGCTTTTCATATATCCTTAAAAAATATAGCTATTTACTAGTAGCACACGAAAAAAAAACACATTTTTCCATCATATAACGTTATATCGAGTATTTTTGTACAAAACCATAAAAGGGGCCCTACATATATACTGTCATTTGTGTAATTGAATTGGAAATTGAGTTGAATTCTTCATGAAAATCAAACACTAACAAATTCCTAACGAATACAAGAAAACATTAAAAATGTCAGTCAAAGTCGACCCTGTCCTAAAATATCCACCAAGCTGAATGAGAATTATTGCAAATTTCAATTTATAAGAGGTTTGCTTTCAAACTTTGAAGCACAAGCGCATGTCACACGTGACGTCACAGTGACGTCACACGTGCTCGCGTGATTCTGGGATATAAAGCACAACCTATAGCCATAGGCCTTCTATTTTTAATTAATTTCAGCTCTTTTTCACATGATGACTGTCAACAAAACTGACTAGAACTGCCAAAGTCAGCCGAGTAAAGGGCAAAGTTTGATTATTAAGATCGGAACCCATTCTCGTCCCCAGAGCCATTTTCATTCGGTCACTCGTTGAAAATTGGGCTCTGGGTTAGACGACTAAAGGAAGAGATCTGATTGGCTTCTCAGAGAACTGCCATTTCGCAGAAGTTGAGCAATTTTCGCTACAAATTTTTCTATCAAAATATGTCAACACAAATACTTCGTTTCTTCGTAATTGACTCGCGCGCGGGTCTGTGAAAATTGTTACGGGTGCAGAAGCGTCCCAATTCAAGAGCATGCGCTTTAGAAACTAGTTTCGTGTATCCCAGGGCCCATGAAGGTCGCGCGCGGTCGTGAGGCCCTGGGAACGAGGATGGATCGGAACCGTGAACTCAACTCCTTGGAGACTGCGCATCACGTCCAAAATGGACTAAAACGCTGCATTAGGATTCGCTGCATTTGCGAGATACGCGTCAAAATTTCCGAACAAAAAAGGCGCCATATTGCCTGTAAAACATTTACTTTAAACTTCTGTAAAAAATTAAGGATATTCAAAAACCCTCAGCTGATAATCTCGCACATGGTGAAATTTTGCTCCACAAGATATTCTTTGCAACGATCGAATCCCAAATTAGAATGACACAAATATTACACATAACATTGTTGGGTTTAACTGCGCTTTGAATGCTTCACCTAAAACCAATACTAGGCCATACCAAGGCTCACTGCATTTGGTTCTGATTGACATAGTACAACCATAAAATTGTCAATCAAATGACAGAATTTGCAAAAGTACTAAGTGGGCTTTTGGTAAATATATACTGGAAGTAAATATATGAAACAGTATAAATGGCCAGAAAATATATTAAATGTCTGATAAACGGTATGTAATATATCATGATTACGTATCAATGAATAATACTGTTTAGTATAATTACATAGGTGATTATTGAAAATTCTCCACGCTGATTGGTTGCCGTTGAGGTGATTATTACGCGATAATCACCTAAGCAATTTTCAAAATGGCGGCCGAAGCCTTTTTGTCAATTAAATGACGAAGAAATGTGTATTTTCTTATTTTTTTTCCAAATAATCACCTATGAAATTATACTAAAACAATCTCGATTGACTATTCACCTCAGGCTCGGTGATTATCGTGAATAAAAACCTCGACTTCGTCTCGGTTTTTATTCACCGATAATCACCTCGCCTTCGGGGAATAATTGTTAAATAACAATATTCCAAAATAAATGTTGACAAATATCACTAGCTTGCACTATTTGTCCTTAAAGGCAAACACTGGAAAACTGAAAGGCACACTTTGGACACAGAACATTGGCTTTCCATTGTGACAGGTTGATCCCAATTATAATTTTTTGTGTGGGGTTGGGGTGGTAATTGTGGTATTCAGCAGGGTGTACCCCTTGCATGCTACCCAGCAAATAAGTTATAGAAAATAAAATTAATTTTTTATCTGTTTTTCACTCTCCAAGAGATCCATGATTTTCGCACTGTTTGTTGAAACAAGGTCAATAGCATCCTTCAAATTGTTTTGGTTTACTTCACTGCAGATTTTGTCAAACCATTCTTCTAGTCTAAAATTATAAGTTATTAAAAATATAAACCATTTATTATAAATGTAGAACTTGACAAATCACTCACAATTGTCAAGCCAGGGTGTGGAATTGCATTACATAATATCTATACGTAAAAATGCACAAGTTGTTTCAGGTTGCCTGCAAACAAGTTGTTACAAATCTGTTCACAAGCTGTCGACAAGTTGTGTTCGCACTGCTTGTTCCCAGTTGTTGTAACAAGTTTGGAACAAACTGTTAACAACTTGCAACAAGCTTGATGGCATTATCAGACTTGTTACAAGATTGTTCTAACAAGTCTGATACAATCATGATATAACAAGAATGTTACAAGATTGACAACACAAAGTTGTAACAATATTGTTATATCATGACTGTATTGGACTTGTTACAACAACCTTGCAACAGGTCTGATAATATCAACAAGGTTGTTAGAAATTGTTAACAGCTTAACAACTTGGGACAAGCAGTGCAGACAAACCTACTCATTAGTGGCAGACACTTTGCAAAATATTCAGGGGAGTGAGGGAATCAGGTTGCCAACATATGACCACCTTTTGTAGACCTTTTGTGCCTTAAATTTCATGCAATATATAGATTTAGTTTACCAATGCTTTTACTATTGTTACAGCTTTGTTACATTGTTACTCAGCTATCATTGAAAGGCTATCATAAGAAGTTATTGGGGGTGGGTGGGAGGAGGGAGTTGTCCCCCTAGTGTCCAGCACTGACACCCACGTTTAAACCAGGGTAGGAGGTTTTGAAGAGGTTATTCCCCTGTCGTCAACAAAAATATTACAGTTTCTGGTATAAGTATCACCCCCTAGCACTTAGCCCTTTGTGGCTTCCATGGGAAGTTGGGTGCTGCCAATTGACCGTAACTAAATTATTTATAGACCTTTTAAGCTCTCCTAGGATTTTCCTCAATCTTTGCTGTTCACACTGCAGAAGTTCTCTATAACGAATCTCCTTCAAAATCTCAGTTTTAAGTTCCAAAATCTCTTTATCCAAACTAGACTCAGTCAAAGAATTTTCATCTTTTAAAACACTCCCTTTGTGTGCTTCGTCTTCTGGCAGCAAAAGCGTTTCAGGGATAACAAAAACATTCTTTAACAAGAACACTTCCATTCTGTCGATGTTTTTATCGACATTTTGATAGCATTTCGCGATCAATTCTTTGCAACCCTCTCTGATTTTTGAGCTCAAAATCGCATCGCCTTTCGCGAATTCCTCGTCTAAAACTTTGCCCATCTCTTTAAAGAACTCCTTAATGTAGTCGTTAAGTGCATTATAAATGCCGTCCACAAACGCATTAGGAGTAAAGCCGAAAAGTTGAGTTGCATATTCAAATTCGCCTACTTTTGCCGCCATCTTGGGTATTTCTGGTTTTGCTGAATGTTAATTTGGATATTGATGAGACTTGAGATGACGTTTCCCGATTTATTTTCGAATATCATTAATTAGGATGTGCTTAAGGTGGCTCCTAAGCGTCTTTTTGAAAAGTGGGAATTGACCATTTTAACAAAAATATTCTCTAAGTGCATTTTTATTTTGCTTTACACAGTATTTTACACGTGTCCAGGAGTTCATGACCCAGCTATAAATTATGATCACCATCATAACTACTATGTCCAAGTTTTGATTCCACACTATTAGTCCATTCAAATAAAAGTTAGTAACTAAAAGTCCATTCACACGATCGTTTATGGCCAGGAAAAAAATTTGCGACATGATTCATCATCGTGCTGGCCTGGCTCATGAACGGCCCCCTCAGTTGACTGTTTGTCAGGCTTAGCGTTTCTTTCTCATTTTCAATAAGGCAGGAAAGTTTCTGATAGCTTCAGATGAAGGCAAACGTTGCTTTTCCTGAAAGAAAATAAAAGATAGAACGTGTTAGCTTCCAGCTTTCGTTCATAATTGGCTTTTATAGAAATTAGCCATGACTATAACCTTGCAGTATTCTGACGATATAAATTCGTCATAATTTTCAATATATTCACAAGCAAACCATTTCTGGGCATTCTCAATGAAGTGCTCGACCGAAAATCCACGACGAGGCGATACGATTAACACCATACCCTGAAAAGATAATCATGAAAATTTCTGACCCTATATATTCTATGACCAAATCTCATCAATTTTACTACCAACAATAAATTTTACGAAACATGCGCGGAATCAATCTACAGTATGCTTACGTCAGCTTTCAAAAGAGCACTCATGACATCCAGGAGATTTTCATGAACTTGTTCATACAACAAACTAATTAGAAAATAAACTTGATTTCAGCTATATGTCCTAAGATAATAGGACATTTAAGCCCGTATTCTAAAAGCTCACTCACACTTAAAGAGTGGAAGTTCAACTTGAGCTTCCCTTGTGTGCCAATGCTGTTTTTGAATAGCTGGAAGGTGAGTAGTCACATAGTAAGGTACGACATTAGCCCTCCAGCTATTCAAAAACAACACTGACGCTCAAGGGAAGCTCAGATTGAACCTCCACTCTTTGAGTGCGAGTGAGCATGTAGAATACAGGCGATAGTCTCTTACAAGATCAATAAAATTTTAATTAAGAAGCTGTGAAACTTAGCCATGCCCAAAATGGGCGTTACAAGTGCCTAACTTTTAGCCATGCCGTACCAAACATTTTGCAATGTAAAGTACGTCTAATTTACTAACCAGTCAGCACAAATCACATAATCAAAGTAATTTTCGAAATCTTTGTAGTCTTCCTTGATGTCCCATCTTAGTTGCCTAACAAAACACAAACAAGTAAAGCTACTTGTGTTGTTTCTGTCTATTTGCAGAATGACACAGATGGTAAGACGTACAATAGGCAGAGCCTGAAATAACGGCCGGCGGTTTTCCGACCAAATTCCAGTTTTCCGACCAAATGCTGAAATGATCGGAAGTTTCGTCCGGACAAATGTTGAAAAAAATGATAATCTGTTTTTTTTTAATTATCGGGTCGGCGCTCAGCACAGTGAGTGCAGTATCTATAGTCTTAGATTATCTATACTAGTCTTATATAGAGTAATCAACTGGAAAGTTATCAAAGTTTCTTCGATCAGAATATGCTTTAAACAAAGTTTAGTTAACTTAAATGTGTGACAGTGCATGAGTTACAAGTAGAGTGATTTACTGCATGCTTGACATAATTTACTCAACGGAGGCGATCAAACTAAACTAAAAAATTTCCGACCAAATTTGAAAATTTCCGGTCAAATTTTATTTTGCTTGGAAGTTTTGCCGGACAAATTTAAAAATTATTTCAGGCTCTGATAGGTAGATAAAACACTAGCATTATTCACCTGATGTGCACTTCACTTTTCCCAAATCTTCTTTTATTTGCCTTATTGATTTCTTGAAGATCTTTAATTGTTGTTAAGGTAATAATTTGAAGCAACTGAACACGCAAGGTCAAGATTTTCTCTTTATAATCATAATTTTAATATCATAATTTTTTCGGGAGAACAAAATATTAAATATATACTTTAGGATACTCGTCACACCATCCATATTTCCATCTGTTATCAAAACTTCTTGTACGTCAGATGCAATTGCAACCTATACATTCATGTAATAAATTGGTATATTATAAGAAAAGATGATCCACGATCCACGCTCACCAATTAGATATTTCACTGGTTTAGCCTGAAATTATCACCCTCCCTGCACCCACTGAAAATCTGCCCGATGCTTAATAATCTACAGTACCATCATGCCAGCAAGTCCTGTCATGCCAGCACCAAGTTCACAAACTGTTTTCTCACTGAAAAAATTGAGAAGACCGGTACAGTATACACTTGGAATTAAGCCTGATAATATATTGCAATAGGATAAATCATAGATGATGTCAAAGTGCATAAATTCTACAGTTACCTAAAGTCTTTGGATTTCTTGATGCAGAGGTATGACAAGATTTCTTCAGAAGGCCATACACCTGAAATTAATGCCAGATGATTTTAGTTGTCATTGGGAGAGTGCATGCTGCCACCCAATGGATTAGTCAGACTAATCTGCCAATTCATCTTTTAAATGGAATGCCCCCTGAGGTGCTTTACTTTATTATTTTACTCTGTCTAAAGATTTTGCTGATAAATAAGGGATGATCAAGTGCATCCACTCAATGAGTTAAAAATACAGGAGAAAAAATTGCAAAGTTGATTAAGGCCTCATGCACTCTGAACGCATTAAAAACAATAGATAATCAGCTGAAATGCCTCATTATCTATCGTTTATAATGCGTTCGGCACACGAGAAATGCGATGTTTGAAACAGGCCTTAAATGCACTGTGACATTGTTTTTAATTTGGCTTCTTGAACAATTCTGTCTGAGGATGCTTGGATCAAATTAAGCTCAGTCATACACACATACTACTTTTAACTGGAGGTTGCACTTCATTGAGGGTGGCATTTCTAAGTATAAATATGGCAATTAAACATATCGATAATTCACAATTTCACTTACAAATATTTCCAGTGTTATCAAAACCAGTTGCATCATTCCAATTTACTGCTCGAACTCTTTGCCTACATGTTACAAAATCAAACATTTGCAGAAACATGCAAAGTGCAAGTCAGAACATGCTCATCTACACTAATTAATTAAGTATACAAATCGTGCCGCCCCCTCCTCCCCTGTGGATGTCAAAGGCGACATGAAAATGGCGTGGCATATCCATACATGGGCACACATGCCATTTTCACGTCATCTTCAACGTCCACATCCTCGATCTAAATCTGTCTACTTGTCATTCTCAATTAAACAATACTATATGTATATGCATGCAAAAAGATATTTTCTTTATTTGTCTGGTCACGGAAACCAACAAGCCTAATTTAATAGCAGTTTGTCCGTAAATTAAGCACTGGCTGGCATAAATCTTTGGCGTTATAATGAATATATTTTCCAATGAAAATCACAAATCAGACAGCATTAGGGCACATTGCAGCTTTAATAAGGTTAATACCTGTTGTTTATAACAATTGTTGTGAAGATAAATTAGCCCGATTATGTCAGAGCAAAACATACTGAATGCAATAAGCTAAGTATAAATATCTGCCTGCCTGCCTATTTTATACACCAACCTAACAGCAAGTCGACAACTAGTAAAATGTTCACAAGTATACTCAAGCCATTCATAATCATCTTTCGCCTCGCAGCGGTCATCAAAATTTTCAAAACCCTCTTCCCTTAAATCTGTTATTTTACACGACGTAAATAGACCGAACGCATGACTACGTTTATGTTGGACATTTAAGTTTCGATTTTTAATAAACATTCGTAAAAGTTGCCATCGTTCTTTTGGAGTGTTTGATTTTGAAATGCCATCCTCTTCCATTTGAAATTTGAAAGCGACGCTTTTTTTTTGTTGATCAATTCTACGAGGTACTTCATGAAGTCCAAATATTGTGGCGTGATATAATCACTGCGAACAGGCTATCGCACAAGTTGTTACAAGTCTGTAAACAATGCAAGTTGTTACAAATCTGTTCACAAGCTGTCGACAAGTTGTGTTCGCACTGCTTGTTCCCAGTTGTTGTGACAAGTTTGGAATAAGCTGTTAGCAACTTGTTAACAAGCTTGATGGCATTATCAGACTTGTTACAAGGTTGTTCTAACAAGTCTGATAGTGTCATGATATAACAAGAATGTTACAAGGTTGACGACACAAGGTTGTAACAATATTGTTATATCATGACTGTATCGGACTTGTTGGAACAACCTTGCAACAAGTCTGATAATATCAACAAGGTTGTTACAAGTTGTTAACAGCTTGTTCCAAACTTGTTGACAACTTGGGACAAGCAGTGCGAATACAACTTGTTGTTGATAGCTTGTTTCCATTTCAAGTTACACAATTGTTGCACCATCTCACGTTTCACATGTACAAATTGTTGCATCCAATTAATGCATCGTTCCTCTTCACGTTCGCACTAGTACTTCTCGTCCTCTCTTTGTTCCACCGGCGTCAAATTCTCTACCCGCCTCGAATATACGCAACCCTGAAGTAGTTTTGTTTTTCATCTATCCAACCTTATACTCACCCAAAATTTGTTTACCCAACCCTTTTCCATTCGGTGCCACCCCCCGCCATAAATGATCGGTCTCTTACGACCCAAAAAACAATCAACTGTTTCTTCAATCCTTTACATTTATTTGTCTAAAAACGATTTACATTCTAATGAGATATTCTGGACTGGTTTTCATGCAAGCTTGAAATGCATATTTACATTTGTGAACAGAAGTGTCTGTGTGTTTTTGAATACTAATTAGACCACACATTTTTGCTAAAATATTACTAATGAGGCAGATTGACTAGTTCCAGACAACAATCATTCATGCAAAGCCAAGAAAAGAGCAACAAAACTGCGCACGTTACAACAAAAACTGATGTATTTGATATATTTATAAAGGTCTACTCATACGTTACAAAACAAAAGCAAATGCTTCATTTGTTAAATCAGTTTTGGCTTCAAGTTGCAGCAATTTTGTTGCTTATTTTACTTCACTTTACCGAACGCCTAGTTGTAGAAAAAAGATGTTCTTTACACAAAGATAAGCGAGCTAAAAGTATAAACTAAAGTACAGTGTCACTATCAGGCGTAAAGCAGAATCGAATTTTAGATCCTTCTCTGGGCAAAATGACAAGCGAGGTAAAATTTAACCAAAGGCATCTTCCCGATCTGTGCCGACCATTTCCGACTCTTCCAGTGTACTGAAGTTGAGGAAGTGAGAAGGACGATGGACTTCGTGATAGAACTCTTTGGGATTGGATAACATCAGTTCATATCTCATGCTGGGTGAGTGACGTACACCTGGAATAATAAAGGAAGTAACATTGAAGGGACAACAGTTTAGAACTGATAAAGCTATCCAGTATAAATACAGTTGCTTTAATTTAATTTTAGTAAAATTTTATTCTTGTGGAGGGAAGGTTAAAACCGAGCGACTCAGAGCCCATAAAACACATCTTGCAATCACTTTGATTTGAGGGTAAAATTTCTGCCAGAATCAATCAACTTACCCATGAAATTGAAATTCCATGATCCTTGCGCGGGCACCATGAAGAATCCGAGGAAACGATCAGACAGAAGCATCTGAACTTTCTCGTAATGTGAAGGTAAATATCCCCTAGGGTTATTTCCCGTATCCTTGTTGTTTCGTCCCCACTCGTAGCCTGACGGTGTGAGTTTGTACGCCGTGAGCGAACATGAACCTGGCGTGAAACTGAAAACGACAATAAATTCATGTTAAAAGAAAATCAACATTTTTACCATGATGATGTTTTATTCTTCATGTCATCTAGTGATTCTATACTACAAAATAAATTTTCAAAATTCATTCATAGTTGTTTCATAAGACGAAATGAATGCATTGAAGCCAGAAACTCTTGAAACACTACAACAACACGAACAGAGTGATATATCTTCAATACACTATATATAATTCAAAACTTGTAAATAGATAAAACTTTATTTTTTATATCTCCTTAACTGTTATTGTACAAAATGCTTTAGCAATACCTGTAAATTTTTGGGGTCATGCTAATAAAGCTCATTTAAAGTAAAAGTACTACGTGGGCTTTAAGGACTATTTGGACCCATATATTTGGACCCATATAAGGGCTATTCGACCCATACATATATCAAGGCTCATTTCCACTCAAGAAAAAAAAATTTCAACTTCAAAATTTTTTCCGACGGAAAATTGGTGTCGGCCAATCCCATTTTACAAAATTTTCTTTCTGCGGAAAATTTTCCTGAAAATTTGGAGCACTGGTGTACGCTACTGACCTGCAAGTAATAATGACAGTCTTTTCTCCGTCCCAAGTAGGATTATCTGCCATAATTTTGGCATGTGTGGTCACATCTTGTGGTGACAACTGAGGCAGTTCATTTGGTTGAGTGTGAATCCAGCCTAGTGGTTCCATTTCCTGGTCGGATGAAAAAGTTGATTTTTAAATCAGTGGTGGATCCAGCAAGGTTTTTGTAGGGGGCGGGGGGCAAGCACTAGCCAGTATATTGTCATGAAAGTGCACCTAGTAGTTCTTTGGTTACAATTTACAGATAGGTTGAATAAATATAATTTAACAATTATACAAAATATAAATCCCCGATTCTCTTGATACTGTGATTGTGTGAACGAGAAAATGAATATTTGGTTGCTTTTGTAATTTTTATTTTCATTTTCAAATATTTATAATGCTAGACGTTTGCAGAAAATTAAGAATTTGCATTATTCAATCAAAATATTAAACTGAATTTATTGTTAATATTGGACTTATCAGTATTTTGAAGTAATGATGCGGTGCTGCCTTGAAATCCAAAACTTAAGTTGGTCTAAGAATGATAACAAACTTTGAATATCTTACTTAAAAGTAAGATAAATTTAGTTATTTCCACCCCACCCCCCTGTTGACCAAGGCCAACAGGGGAGTACACCCCTGTAGACCCCCCTATAAATCCACTACTGTTTTAAATTAATTAATATCAGTACTAGTATCATTTCAAGGAGAAGGAAAATTTGGACGCCGTTATTGCCATATTCCACATACCTTAAGATAGTCGTGTTGTGGTAACATATTAGGAAGATGAACAGTCTAAAAGATGGAAGATTGCAAATTACTTCACAGACCTAGAAAATATATCTCTTCCTGGAAGCAAAATCCAAAAATAAAAATTTCCTCTGTATGTCAAATAGCCACTGGTAAAATAGCAACCAAAATGTTTTGTCAATCAATTAAGTTGGAACTACATGCGATCTATGAATGGGCTCTTTCGGATTGATTCAGCGTGTTTAAATCATATGGGACAGTACACGAGTACAGTTATACAGTCACTCGTGATGAATTGTGGTCTTGCAAGGGTAAAATGCTACATTGCATAAGTGTATTCTACATTACCTGATGTGTTCCCCACTGTGGGACCATAACAATACAACGAATTTCTTTCACTTGAGGGTTATCAGGAGGACTGACACCATACATATACCCAGATATCTGATAAATAAAACATCAAGAGTATTACTTCAACATTACAACATACGAACTACGGATTTTAGAGGGTATTTGTCAAGCACAGTATAAGGTACCATAGATTTACGAAACTCGGCATACATCATTATAGATCATATCAGAATCACGGACAGAAAGCAACTCATCATTCCAGAAAAATTCAATCAATCATAGTCAATAGAATAAGGTTTGGGAACTCGATGCAGACATAGTAATACCTCATTATCTATGTTTTTGCCTGGTTTGTGCGAAATATGGTCGGTTCATCGTCACGAGTGTATTGGGTTTTTCGCCCAACCAATCGACAACAGTGTGTTGGTTTAATTATCCAGTCGTGATATTTACACGATGGTTAAATGAAAACATAGCTATTGGTTGCTCTAGCGAAAATACAATACACACGTGACGATGAACCGACCAATGAGGTGTTTCGGCATCAAGTTTCCTAACCTTCTTCTATTAACCATGAATCAATTTACCTGTGTTCGTAAATCAGCAATCACGATAAATTTCTTGAGCACATTTTTCGGCAGTATGTAGGTGAATCCAGTTTCCTTAATATCGTCGGACGACACGTAAATATGATTGGTCCTCAAATGCAAGTTGGTCGCAGAAATTGCTCGAACTCGCCACTCGGTTTTCGAAGCAAACGTCTGGGTTTCATAATTACTTGTAGTCGATACAATAATCTCGTCGCCATGAATGTTCGTGGTTCGCGTGGTGGTGGCTGTCAGTTGCGATTGTTCTTTGGTTTGTTTTTCAATTTCCGCAATCTGTTGTCGTTGTTGGGACGGAGCCGATATTTCCATGCCCAATATGATGTCACGGATTTCGGATTGGGTGAGAGATGCTACGTTGACGCTGGGAAATAAAACGAAAACGTTAGGGACCGGTCATTAATAATAGGAGGGGAAGCGGTGGGTGATAAATACCAAATACTGAACATTTTTTAGAGTCTCCCCCGATCGCAATACCTTTATTTTCAAGACGCCCCCACCTTCATCTAGAAAATTTAGGACTCCCCCCCCTCTCCAACATTTAATTCGTTACATTTTTTCGGTGTAAAATAGGTAATGGGACAAGTACTGGTATTCAAAATGGTTGTTATTTACTCCGACTCCTATGGTGAACTGCATATACGTAATAAACTATGCTACGCTTATAGGAACTAAAAAAGGTGGAATACGATAAAGGCGAGAGATTGAAAATGAGTAGGAAAGTATTAAAAAATTGGGGTCGCCCCTTGTCACACATATTTTTCGGTTTGAGGCCGCCCCCAATTCAGGCAAAAATAGCCGAAGCCACCCCCTTTTCTCACCCATTATTAATGACCGGTCCCTTACCTTAGATCGAAAACGATTCTTAGATTTTGTCATTAACTGTGATTTTGTCTTTGTTTACCAATTTTCCCTCCAAGCGTCCCATAAAATAACGCAAAACAACCTGAACGATACTTACTTGTTTTTCTTTCCATAATCTGCAAGAATCAAATCTTTTAATGCAACCTAAAAAGGACATTA